TCATGAGAGACATAACCCTTATTTCATGTGCCACATGAACAGCATCCCTGGTTCCCCCATCCCTTTCAACAGGCTTTGCAACCAGAATGTGGTCTGTTGTTCAACAGAAAAAGATCCTACTAGGTGCATCAAAATCATTAGTTAGTTATGTGCCATCAAGTCAGAACTGACCCTAATATAGTGACCCAAACAGGGCTTTCAGCTGGTTGGATATTTCAGTCAGAAGTTGGAAGTTCAGTGTCCCGCTATGCATCCCGAAGAGCAAACTATGTGGCTTTGGGCAAGCTGCACAGTACCGGAATGCCTCCAGAAGAAGGGAATGGTAAACCACTTCTGAGTAGTCTCCCTCTAGACAACTCTGAAAAAAGTCACCGTAAGTCAGAATTGACTAAACAGCAGATGGTGAGTATTACAGTGGGGTCTTGACAGGGCTTTCAGCTGGTTGGATAGTTCAGTCAGTTAGGTATCTATCTAGCTGTGGAGCCAGAAGTTGGAAGTTCAGTGTCCCGCTATGCATCCCAAAGAGCAAACTGTGTGGCTTTGGGCAAGCTGCACAGTACCGGAATGCCTCCAGAAGAAGGGAATAGTAAACCACTTCTGAGTAGTCTCCCTCTAGACAACTCTGAAAACTCTGAAGAAAGTCACCATAAGTCAGAACTGACTAAACAGCAGATGGTGAGTATTATTAATAGGGCTTTCAAGGTAAGTGAAATATTTAAGGAATAGTTTTACCAGTTGCACACACCCCATGAGTTTCTGTGTCCAAGTGGAGATTTGAACTCTGGTCTGCAGAGTCTTAGTCTGTCATCCTCTTCACCTTTGGACGACACTGAAGTTGGTCCGATTATTTTGACATTTTTAAAATGCAAGAAATATAAGATTCCCAGGCAAGCATAAAGTCTATGTACATAAACTAAGTCATGAGTATAGCCCCTTTCACTCATTTCTTCCCCATAAACTTGAAGAAGACAAGTTTAACAGCATGTCTCCAATATTATCAAAAATGGGCAGGAGAAACAACTTCCAAGAACAAGGGCCCCTGACAGAGATATCTTGCCAGTAACTCTTTCATTTAGAACTGCAAGACCTCCTGCTTATATGTTCTGTTCTCAACTGTGATCACTTATCTGCAGCAGAGGCACAATCTCATGCACACCTATATTCACTTAAGTTTACAACACTGACTGCAATCTCCTTGAATTGTTAGTTCTAGAAAGAAAAAGCATACCAAAAACAGCAGCCCTACCTACCTCTTTCACAGCACTGGGATGATGACGATGTGCCATCAGGTAGATTATTATATCTTATTACTCATCCTAGATTTTTCTTGATATAAAATACCTAGTCCTCTTTTTCGTGGCACCCTGGGATCATACATGCCTGAGACTACACAGGATGCCTTTTGTCCTGGGAGGCACAGAGCAGAAATCAAACTCTGATACCTTGGCTCCATGTTCTGACCCACTGAGCTACCCAGTCATCATTATCTGCCCTTGAGAAAAACCCTTGAGGAACAAAGCAATGCATAGTGTGTTTTGCTGCTGATATACTTTGTCGACTGGTGCTTCTGGAGCCAGGCAATTTTGTAGTGAAATGTTGTCACATCACATGTTTTGAATTCCTACAAGTTACTGCGGGAGACGAGATCTAAAGCAGAGATGGGCAAAATCAGATAGTCTGGAGTCCAAATTCCAGCCTCCAGTCCCCCACCCACAAGCCACACAAATGGTGAACACCTGCAATTTAAAAACAAACAAACAGGCAGTTCATCTGGGGAGGGGTTTGGCAGTGGGGAAGTCTTTGGCCCACCCCAGACACAGGAACAAAAAGCTGCTGTTCCCAGAGCTTTATTTTGGACAAAAGAGACAGTTTTTCTTCATTTTCTTTCCTATGGAGGGCTTTGGAGATCTCCTGAGGGGCACAAAAATGCCCTTGTCCATGGGCTACACTCTGTCCACCACTTATTTAGAGGCACATCTCTCAGTTATATCAACATGTGCCATTTTTCCATGGACATACTGTATTCTATTTATTTAAAAACGTTCCATAGAACAGGCCAGATTAATGGGTTTCAATACAGTATTAAGTAAGCCTGGCAATTTCAAAATTGTCTGAGCCAGCAAAATCATTCTCATACTTTTAAGCAAGACTTCAGAACTCCAACTAATTGTGTTCTTGCTCTTATGCAATTAAGGGTATTCAAGTAACCATTCTAAAATGTGTGAAAGGGGCGCGTATATGTTTCACTGATTTGTAAAGGAGAGCTAATTTAAAATAAAATCACAGATATATGTGATAATAATCCAAACCAATATATTCATTTTTGGATTTTGAAGTTCAAAAGAGAAATAAAACAGTTATGTTTCCCTTCTCTTTTAACATACACAGCATTTCCTTCTCAAGCTTCAGATAATTCTGGACTCCACTACACTACACTGGTGTTCCAGCCAACATTCAGAGTGATTTATCAATGATTTTAGATTTACAGGGCAAGAATGCAGACGTTGTCAGTATCCATGCAAGGGAAGTAAGGCTAAGGCAACTGGCCCAACGTTACATCACGAATCTCATAGCCAAGTGACAATTTGAACCTATGTCTCCTCAATTCTGATTGGAGTCTGACACTCTAATATTTGGCTTTCACATGCCAGATATGCCAGTTCAAATACTTACAGATTGTTGGGAACATTTTGTTTGCTTAATATAAATCAAATAAATATTATTTAAAATATTGTGCTTCATTCAAGGCACGGGAAACCTTCCAATTTAAAATGTTACAGAAAATCCACTCAGTTTCCACAGTGTTTTATATTTAATCTAGATACTGTCCCAGGACTTTAAGATATGATAATTTTACATCAGGAAGGCACTAGCAGCAGCAGCAGAATCCTCAAAATCCAGTATAAAAACAGTGGGAATTTTAACTGAACCCTGAATTCTCCATGTGCAGAGGCTTTTCTGTGAAAGACAAAAGTATACATGATAAAAATGGCATGCAAAAAGAAATGTAGCCCCTCATAGAACAAAGGGGAAGCTCCTGCACATAAAGGGTTCTGAATCACTGAATTCTGAATCACAGCAAGGACATACTTTTTACAGGTTGCCATTTAAAACCTGGTTCTAAGATACAACTGTTTGTGTTCCTACTACAACGCAATATAGATCTCTTCACTATTAGCAAAGAAAGGCAGGCTCTCATTCCTAGGTTATGCTTTCCAGCCACAATCTTGAACCATAACTGACATGGAACTACACCACATGATCTTCTATCTGGAAGCAATGGGTCCTCTATGGCTGAAATGTCACAAAGTAGTCTGCCCTAACCCAGCTTAATGAAGCCCAAAGTGACTGGAAAAAGTAACCATGTGGGGCCATCCACATGTCTTATTTGTTCCTGTTTTAAAATTGGTCCATTGCCCATTGAGTCAGAATAGCTTAACTGATCTATATGAGATTCCTGGACATGTGAATCAATCTGTTCCTTTTCCTTTCTCCTTCTGGATTATTTTTCCTTACTTTGGAACTGGGGTCTTTTGGCAGCCCAGTTCAGTCTGGATGTGTCATCCCCAAATGTTCCTTCATCCCGCATCCTGTGGGGACAAGTATAATTAGAGCTCCTGTGAGAATGTTCTCCCAGAATCTCTCTGGGAAATGAAGGAGAGTGTTTTCTCCTTCAGCCTGGTAGCAGTGGTGACAGTTTTAAAGTTGTACTGGCAACTTTCTGGAGAGGGGAGCATTAGTTTATGCTGGTGCCATTTCTTGTACAACATCCACAGATCCTTCTTGGGGTTTTGTTTCTGCGCCTTTCATTCCATTCTTCCCTTTGGGCTCTGAAACAGATTCCTCCCTCTGCCATTGTCCATAAAAGAGTAGAGCTTGTAAATATCCCTTCCAAGAAGTAGAGACAGGGTATGTAATGAAAAGGATATGAGAAGAGGAGAATAGTGGGAGAAGAAAGCAGGCAAGTGTTTTGGTGTGAATGTTCAACTCAGAAGTATCCAGATTACATAAAAGGGGAAACTGATGGAAGCTTGGAGTTAATGATTCTGAATCTGTGAGGGAAAGGGATCACTTTTCCAACCCAGATTAATTTGAGCCACATACCTTATGTAGATTAGCCCACAGTCACACAGCCAATGGCTGTGCCCATATAACAAGCTGCAGTTAGCTGCGCTGACCTTTTCCTAGAATCCTTCTGCCACAAGCAATAGTAAACATAAATCTCTCATCCAAGCAATGGGATTCTTGTTTACAGCTTCAGAGTCAGGGGGGAATCAGATTTTGGCTCTTTTTCCAATCATATCTCTGTTCCTGTCCCACACATTCTGATCATCAATCTGCATTAACTGCCTTCTAATACTTGTCCTAAGACATTTCCACCTTACTTCCCCTTTTCCTGATGCTTTCCGCTAATGGCATCTTCGTGCTTCGTTTCAAAACCAAACTCTCACTTTGGCTTTCCTTAATTGCATGTCTCTCTTTCCTTCCCTGGTATAATATTCCCCTCCTCTACCACAGCACTCTAGCAGCTTTCGATCATGGTGAAAATGATCCTGTACTCCTCCTATCTTACCAATACAATGGTTGTTCCTTGGAACATGGCATTTACAATTCTCCCTGTTAAACATTCACTTTTCTTATCTATGTCATATTGATATATCACCCATTCTTTGTCAGACTCTAATAATGGCCCATAGTTCATATCTTTGGATTCAAGGCTATTTGCAGAAAGTAATACTTGCATCCTTGGAAATGTCTATAGATACTTCTTTGAAGGAATGCTTGTTCAATTTGCAGATGATACGAAACTTAATCACTTAATAGACATGTGCATGGATTTTAAGAAAGTACTCAACAGGATAACATACAATATTTTAAAAAAGTTAAATATAAAGGAAATTAATCTGCATAGAAGCTTTCTTCCTGTACCTTCTGTAAGCCATATAAAAATGGTTAGAACATGACGGTGAGCAACAGCTCATTATATTTATTTTCCTTACCTATTTAACATGTTGGATTGGTAGATCCTCTTGTCCTGTGTATTGTAGCAACTACTCTTGGGCTCAGGAATGAAGCTGTGCTCAGCCAGCATGTCAGAGGCGGCTGTGGTTATTATGGCTATTCCATCTTTCACCCTGTCCCGAAGACCATAGTCCCATTCATCATATGACACTGAGATAAGTCCAGTGGGGAATTCAGAGGGTACTGTGTCTGTATCTCCAGCCACCAAGCTAGGCACAATCCATGTGTAATCATACCCAGTCAGACCGACAGAGTTTGCCACCTCAAAGATGTAGGTGGCCTCTTCCTTTGTACAGTAAAGGAGGATGACAGGACTCTGGAGTTTTTTGAGTTGATTCTGGATCTTAGAGTCACCATCATCCAGAGACATGTCCAGCAAGAGTACCTCTTCTAGCTCCCAACCCACAAAGCTGTTCTCAATAGTGCTCCGGATCTTGTTAACAAAGTCCTGATAGCCAGGAAAGTAGGTAGTGACAATGGAGAATATGTACCAGTCATATTCTTCCATGATGTTGAGCATGACAGAAGCTTGCTGTTCTATTGACGGGCCAAACTGGAAGAACATGGATGATTCATCCTGTAAGAGTAAAAAAGAAAAAAATGCAAGGTCAAAGGGAGGCAGTGATAAAATATCTGGACTGAGATGGGTAGGGGATCATATAACACTGGCTTGCTTGAATAATTATGTACAATTATATATGCACAATGCAGCAAAAAAGCGAAAGGAGCAAAAGATGCTTATGTTGACAGTTACTTTTATGCCATCTACACTACAGTTTCACATAAGTAGGAAGCATGTGCACTATGAAAAGGTACTATAGGAAAAAAGTACCAGCTGCAATAAAGACAAGTGATACAATTGCAAAGATGCAAACAGTAACAAAATGATGCCTTTTCTGATGTAGGTGTAAATGCCTTCCTCTCTGCCTTGGAAGCCTTGTATAAGCCAAATGCAATGTTAATAGATATTAAACAAAAAAATTATGTTGTGTGGTGGATCCCTGAACAAGAGCAATATTTATTCATTGATCTTCACTATATTAATGCATTTACTGGACATCTAGTGGTCCCTAATTTTGGGGAGAACAAGAAACAATGACACTAAAAGCATATGTGGGGAAATATGCTCTTCTTACCTAAATCTGGCAGGCCACCAGAGAAATATGAGATACTGAGATTGCTTTATCACTAAAGTATACTTGTACTGTAGTGCCCTGCATGCGCATTCACTTGTTACAAAGATTCTAGCATTAAGAGATATGCAGACTTGGTATATGAACACAATAAAACAACAAGAGATTTTTCAATCGTTCCATAACTACAGAATCTAGAATTACAGAAGATGGTGATACATTCACAGGAGCATAATGGTGCAAAAATTGTCTTAATGTATAATTAGTATAAATAATCAAACATGCTACTTTAGATTGGATGAACCTATCCAAACTGATTGCTCGAAATGGTCAGATCGCTGCATATTTTATCCAAACTGAAACCAGCAAATGCTTATTATTTATTATATGAAAGGATACAGACTTGTGCCCAGCCCAGTCCAAACTTTTTTCCCTAGCTTGAAGAGCCCTGTGTTGCCACTGCAGTTAGAATGCAACACAGTTTCAATTGACAACAAATAGTTGAAAGGTGTTGTTACCTGAATATTTTTAAGGGTTTATAGGTAGGATGATACAAGTGCATGCTTTTCTAAATTCCATTGACATTTTAATCTAGAAAACTAAGGTTAAGGAAGGTGTATTGTCCAGACAGAATAATTGTCATTTTCATTCAGAGTGAGTCTAATACTCCACATTAGCACAAGTCTTAATATTGGGGCAGGGATAGGGGTGGATTGTGGAGGAAGGATTCAATATATGTAATTTTCAAGATTGATGTGTATGCACACCATGCCATTTCATCAGTTTCTGCTTCAGTAGGTGCACCACTTCTGCTGCCACCAAAGTGACAAACGAATTATAAACTCCTACAAGATTTTCAAAAATGGGTCAGTGACCTGGCAGGAGACTCAAGAAACAGAAACTGGAGGAAAAAAATACAGGGGCATGAAATAGGCATTGAGCATCCAACATTCATTCTAGATCAAAAGAAGCATGCATGTTTGCAAACACATATATATCTACCAAATCTATGAAATGTAGAGAAAGTTAAATTCTATTGAAATTAATTGTCCCAATAAGTTTAACAGTTTGTTGAAGGGGTTTTGATTTCAGTGGGCTCTGCCCAACCTTTCTTCTTTCTTTCCATCAATGCTATAAACATTTTAGGAAGCATGTTGTGTAAATTACTTCCTTTCCAAAGAAGAAATCTCTCTGAATTCTAGTGTGAGATTACATTGCTTTGTAACGTTATCCACATATTAAAATGGAGAAAATAAGAATCTACCATTTTTTGTCTCCTTTGAATTTACAGTTCTTTACATCAACTTCCAACCGTTTCCCCCTCACAAAATGTCAGGGACATGTCCACAGGGCATATAGCTGCTATTCTAGAATCACTGCAATTCTGACTGTTATCATAAAATCAGCAGGGAACTACTTTACTTCAAGCAGAAGGGCTAGCATTGTTCAAACCCATCCACCTTGGTCCTTGACAACAAGTTTTTTTGTCTAATTATCATAACACTTCAACTATTCAAATGAACTTTAGCAACATTAGCAAAATCAGCAATCACAAGAGTGGGATAAAATAATATAAAGGAAGCCACTGAAGACCAAAATCATTAAATCAGATTAAAAACAACAGTGATAAATATCTGTAGTCACAAAACACAAGTACTTACATTCAATTGTTAGTCTCAAACAGAATAGATCCAGTGGCTGAAATCCTGATGCTTAACATAGTAAGTTTCAACTAAAGTAGACCCATTGAATCATTGGAGGCTTGTGATTCAGTTCTTCCATAAGTTCCATTGATTCTCTAGTTGCAATTTACTATACTAAGCAACAGAATTTCTGCCATAGAATCCATGGTGTTTATGGAAGTGTTGATTTACTACTTAGCAATTAATTTTTCTCTGTTTTATAATCCCTATTATTTTCTTCATACACTTTTTGGCTACAGTGCTGAATAAAGAACATGGAAATATGAAAGAATTCCAAAATTAAAGAGAAGGAAATGCATTATTTATGAATTGAGTCCGTGTTTTGGAACACTAGAAAGAACTTGGTTGGTTGGTTGGTAAGCCAAGTGTTTTTCTATAAAATTCATTGCTGATGCATCTTCATAAGATGATTACAGCAACATACCTGCTTCACTTTCCTCAATTTAACTTATAGTACATAGATGCCACTGAAGAGAGATAAGAAAAAAGAGAGAAATTATAAAGAGGATTGATATGATAATGAACAAATTCCAAACAAAAATCTAGCTTTTAAGAAAGACCAGATTTGGAAGTTATGGTTCTGAAAGATAGTGCATGAAAGTGTGTGTGCATGAGTTGCTTAATGAAGTGTATCAGCAATGTTTCTAGTCACTGTCCCTTGGCCCTGGCTTTTTGGCATGCTGACTTTGGGTCCATCATGACATTTGAAGCCAGCATCACAATTATGAACCTTTTAAATGGACAAGCTTTGGCAGCAACTGCATGAAGCCTGGAAAGCCGCTCCCACAACACTTGTCTGCCCTGTCTTTGTGACATCACATAGACTCACACCTAATGTCACCTTCTGACCTGAAATCTCAGAGAATGAATAGTGCTGACATGACAGTTCTATTTTGGACACGTAATAAAGTTTTACAATACTGCAACTATTTCACAAATATATTTCTACCTCAGGTGATATAGGTCAAAATGTGTGGGGTTTTTAAAGGGCTACATATACAATAGAGGGACGTGGTGGTGCTGCGAGTTAAACCGCAGAAGCCTCTGTGCTGTAAGGTCTGTAGATCTTCAGCTGTAAGATCGAATCCACGTGACAGAGTGAGCACCCGTCGCTTGTCCCAGGTCCCGCCAACCTAGCGGTTCGAAAGCATGTAAATGCGAGTAGATAAATAGGGACCACCTTGGTGGGAAGGTAACAGCTTTCCGTATCTAAGTCGCACTGGCCATGTGACCATGGAAGATTGTCTTCGGACAAATGCTGGCTCTATGGCTTGGAAACTGGGGGGAGCACCACCCCCTAGAGTCAAACACGACTGGACAAAAATTGTCAAGGGGAACCTTTACCTTTATTTTTACATATACAATGGCACTTTACCAGTGGTTTTCTGCTAGAAGTGATGCTATATTACTGCTATATAGCTGACACCTGAACAATGGTTGTTCACTATAAATTATTGTTGAAAGATCCAACAGCAATTTATTGTTGTTCCCACTGTAGTAGATGAAAAAGATGAGCAGATCAGGAATAGACTATTTCTGCTTTCCTTGTTTAAAAAAAAATAACAATGTCCTTTTCAAAAACCCCATCACTTCTACTCCCTTATTCATTCCAATTACTGGAAAGCCACCATTTTTCTATGGACACATAGCAGAAAAGCAAAATGGTGTCTTACTGATCTCTGCTGAAGGAACAGGTTTGAACAGTATATTGGTGAAACACTGCTGCTGATTTTTAATACAATGCAAATAAATATTTGTATGGAAATAAAATATTGCTGCTTGAAAAAATACCTGCATTGACAGAATTTCAGTGACAAGGAATACATTTGAAGTATGAGCATTAATTTTTACTGATACCTATCTACAATAATCAGTAAAGGTTTTGTAACACCCAACTTGATGAAGAATCCTATAGGACTTGAAAACTTGCCTTTTTGATATTTTGGTGGCCCAAGAAAAGAATCATTCAGCTTTGCATTTTCATTCTTCTTGCTTATCAAATTGCTAAATATCTTTTCTACTATTTCCAACAAACACATTTTTCTTTTTATGTGTGATGGTAAATAACACAAATAGCCCCTTAAGCCAATATTTACTACCATTGGTATAGAAAGAAGGTGTTACACTGAGGTTTCCCATTTCCTCCTGCTGCTAGATAATATTCATTATTCCACTGCAGTTAACTATTTTGCCCCAGTCTGCCACATACATTTAATATCCAGTTTTGCAGGACTCCCGTTTAATTCAGTGCTTCTGCGCAAACCCAAAACAGAAGTCATGTGCTTCGGCTGAAAGGCAATGAATAGTTTACTAAGTGCCTGCAAGTCACTCAGATGGAAATAGGCTATTAATTCTATATCTCTCAGAGTGTAAGCTGACTGCTCCACACCAAAAACTGACTCTTGAAGCCTACAGACTGAGTTTTGGTACTTGAAGCCTACAGACTTGAGTTTTGGTACTTAAGTAACTACAGTTCAAACTACAACATTTATCAAGAAGATTTTTGAACTTTTCCACCTTCCCCTATCCTAAGTTTTGTAACACCCAGCCCAATGAAAATTCCTGAAACTTACCCTTTTTATGATATTTTGGTGGCCCCATGATGGTAATACTCAACTCTCCTATATGATTCAAACAAGCGTATTTTAATCTCCTATTCAATTCAGCAGTAATGTACTGTTAAAACTTGTCTCTTGCATAGAAATAAGTAAGTTACTATTGTTTCTTTCTGCTTTGTTTCT